TTCCTGCTTGATACATCCTCTCTTTTTCTTATCCTAACCTACCCTTCACTTCTGCTGAGACGCAGGAGCCGCGTTAGTGCCTATCTGCACACCCCCAGCAAGGCTTCGCCGCTGGGAGAACCCTGCGGAGCCTAAACGGGCTTTCGCTCTTCCCAGCGGAAGGAGGTGTCTGTGCATTGCCTCACCCCCACCAGATTTATTCCCCACCTGCACCACAGGTTTGTAGACAACCTGACTTGGGCTCAAGCTTCCCTCTAGCAGCACTAGAATGTACGGGGGTGCCAGTGCCAGCTCACTCAGGGCAGTGTTTTCTCAAGGCCCAGACCTGCTGGGAACTTACTACGTACATCAAAAACGTCACTCCAGTCTTAACCGTGGCTAAATGCTGTAGATTGTATTGTGAAGGACTTGATCTGTTTACTATGAAACCATTGTAATTTCTGCTTCCATATTTCCTTTACAGAAGTATTCCTGGATGTTACATGATAACCTTATTATGTGAAAGTACATGCAAACTGTAAAGTGTATATATTGTGTCGTTATACGGGGTCCATGGATGGTACGCTGTGTTCCATGGCTTATGCCGGAGCAAACTTCAGCTGTTAAATCCTGAAAGACACCTTGAAGCACAATTTCCTCACCACTGATTTGCCATATAATTTACCACATTCAGTCTTTCCTGTTTTCTTTTATGTGCAGTCTGATCATACTAAAGCCTGATTACAACAGCAATTTTGTGAGAATAAATAGGGGGTTTTCCACATCTCAGTTAATTTAACTGCTAACTTCTTTGAATGTCTGCAGTTTATCCAGACAGATCTGTAAGTTTAAAGTCCTATCCAAAATTTAAAAACTTACAGGTTGTTTTTTGTTTAGGCATTTCTTTCTTTTTCGAATGGTTTATGGTGCCTTTTTTGCCTTTCACACGAAGCCTCCTTGCTGGCCTAAGCATAAACCTGCGCTTAGGTTCAGTTCAGGAGCAAGAGATCGGGCACGTGGAAACTGTGTGTCAGTAACGGAACTCCCTTCCCCTCCTCAACAAGATGGAAAAATCATGGCATCATGAATTTGAACACCACTCTTCCACCTTCATCTGCACGAGCAGATGGTTGCACCCCCATTGAGCCCAGAAGGCATCAATGGGAGAACTGAGCATTGGCCCTGCCTGTACCGATTCCGCACAGAAACAGGGCCTTGGGTATTGCTGATAATTTATCTCACGGAAACTTGGTATTTTTGCCTTAAATGACATGCTTGATTCCTTCTAATTTTAAGTTAATTTATTTAATACAATTTTGTGCACAAAAGAATGAGTTCTATAAATTATGTATGAAAATGTTAATGTCTTTACAAAGTACTAATAAATCCAGAAGATCGTATCTGTTCAAATTATGGTTTAAAATCCTAATTTTTTTCTTTTATGCTCACCATTATTATTTTTGTAGCTGCAAGTCTTATCATATAGGAATTTTTTAACATAATATTGATAGAAAATAGAAAGAGTAGTGAATATATGAAATTCTGGAGAGAAAGAATTGTTTGTTTGGATTTTTATAAGCTTTGCTCGTTATTTCCTCGTGAGGAGTTTCCTGTTTCTACACTCTCTCTTTAAAAGTGTCATGACTGACAGTCATTCATTGGTCTCACAAAAGAAGGAGTTGTCTGGCTTTTTAAGTCTTGTCCTGAGCTGCTTATTAAAGTCCAGCTCATGACAGCTAATAAGAATTGTTCATGAGTAGGGACAATTTTTTTTTTCTGATTTACAATCCACTTCAGGATTGTTGAAGAGAGAATTTGAACTTAAGTAAGAGCTTCAGGAATTAAGCCTTATCCAAATAACTGTTTTCTGATCAGCATGTTTCTTGTACCTGATTGAAGAGAGAACTGAAAAGAATAGTTTTGATGATTATTATTTGTTGAAAAATTTGTATTTGCTCCTGGCTTATATAGTCTATACTTTTTATTTAAATATGAATATAGTGTTTTAGCCTAGGGTTCAAGATTGCAAAGATCATACACTTTTATTCACAGTGCCCACGGTTGTTCCATATGTTTTTTGAGATAATCCTACTTAGAGTGACTGCTCTCATTATAGTATGGTGATGAGTAATTCACCTGCTCTTCTGTGGTAAGTCAAATCATACTGAATTGCTAATGTGTAGTAGAACATCTGATGTACAGTAGTATTTCTGGATTGGGACCTGCAATCCTTAGTCAAGCAAAAATTCTATGGAATTCATTCATTCTATGGAGTTCAAGAATTTTTCTTGAATCAGGAGCTCAGATTCAAATCCTTATTTTGTTGGGCATCTGTTTAAAGTGAAAATGGTAATATTCCAGTTATTTCCTGAGGAAACTAATACTTAGCTGAATTTACCCATGTCACATTGACTATATAAAAATAACGCACAAAGTATTGATGTAAAAAGGGAAGAAGAGAAGGGACATTTTTAAAAAGCACAGGGAAAAAGAGAATAATCAGAAAAAAGGAGTAAGCAGGAAAAGAAAATATAACAGCAAAGGAATGAAAAAAGGGTTTAAACACCTGAGGCTAAATTCATCCTTGGATGGCTTCACTGACTTCAATGAATTTGCTGCCCAACTGGGTGAAGTTCAGTCTCCATTGGGATAATCAGGCTCAGTTCCACTGACCTTAAAGGAACTGAACCCACCTATACCGGGAATGAACTTGCCTCTCTGGGCCAACTTTTATCCTGACTCATATGTCATGCAATCCTTTTGGATTCATTAGGTTTGAATGAAATACAGGTCAGACAAGAATTTGTCCCAGATATTTCTGCTTCACTTTTTTTTTTTTCAAGTGTGTTAATCGACCTAATTCAAATGGATTACAACATCACACAAAGTGCTGTCACTGTCTAAAAAGGTTAATTGGTTCTTGAAATAAGAATTGTCCCCTGCAGTGTCAGTGGAAGCGTGTAATATTTTCCTCTTCATTCATCTGGATGTAAATGTGGCCATTCATTCAGCTGTGGCCACATATAGAACAATTCCAGACATATCCAGTATCATCTGCTATTGGAAGCATTTTTTACTTCTTTGAAAGATAAAAAGCCAGTTTCCTAACAGGCTTAGCAAGCACGAAAGCTGCTTCCCCTGACACTGCAACGACATTAGCCAGTACATTACAATGTTAATTGTAACTTCTTGACAAAGTTGAATCCATATTGTTGTTAATAAAAATGATTTGAAAAGTACCATGCTTACTGGGTTGGTTTTTTTTTCCTTTCATAAATGATTGTATGGTGTAAGCACGTATCAGGCAAAAAAAAAAATTAACTTGCTCATTGTTTTCGAGTTTTGTAATTTTGTTATTAAATGGACCAAAACACCACAGAGGAAGTTTACTAGAATAAAACTTGCACAAACTAGTCTGATATGTTCAGTTTCTGGTAACTGTTTACAGCAGAGTTTACTTAAGATGTTTCAGCACCTCTGTGAAAATTAGTTTGGAAGTTATTATTACTTTCCTTGTTAGATAAACAGGAATTTAAAGATGCAGTCTCCAGAAAGACAGGTTTTCCAGGTCAGCCATTTGTACCCACAGCCTATGTGAACACTGCCAAGCTCTGCCAAAGAATAAACACCAGACAGGAAAAAAGGCAAAC